AGCAAGTACACCTCGAGGCCAACTAAAGCCATGATAGACGCGGCGGAAGCTTCTTGGAACGTGTCAACAAGACTTGCAGTAGAGGCGCCAAGAGGTACTGAAGAAAAATCAGCTGCACAACTAGTCCCCAAATGCTACCATGAATACCTAGGAATGTTCGAAAAGTCAAACTCTAATGTATTACCACCACACAGGGCGTATGATTTTCGAGTGGATTTAGTTCCTAACGCCACACCGCAAGCTGGACGGATAATACCTCTATCTCCAAAGGAAACGGAAGTCCTGAATGAAATGATCGAAAAAGGGCTGGCAAACGGAACCCTGAGAAGAACCACATCGCCGTGGGCTGCTCCTGTCCTATTCACTGGAAAGAAGGATGGAAATCTGAGGCCTTGTTTTGATTATCGGAAATTGAATGCTCTCACGATCAAGAACAAATACCCACTTCCTCTCACTATGGAATTGATAGACAGTTTGTTAGACGCCGACAGATTCACAAGCTTAGATATGCACAATGGATACAACAACTTAAGAGTCAGAGAAGGGGATGAAGCTAAACTAGCTTTTATCTGCAAATCAGGCCAATTCGAACCTCTGACGATGCCCTTTGGGCCTACCGGAGCTCCAGGATTCTTCCAGTTTTTCATTCAAGATGTACTAAAGAGTCAAATTGGCAGAGATGTTGCTGCATATCAGGACGACATATTAATATATACAAAACCAGGAGAAAATCATGAAGAAGTTGTCAAAGAAGTTTTAGAGCTGTTACGTGCGCAGAATGTCTGGCTAAAGCCTGAAAAGTGTAGATTCAGTCAGAAAGAGGTATCTTACTTAGGATTGATCATATCCCGAAATCAAATCAGAATGGACGAAACCAAGGTGAAAGCAGTGCGGGATTGGCCAGCACCAAAAAACTTGTCTGAGGTTCTGACCTTCCTAGGCTTTTCAAACTTTTATAGAAGGTTTATTCATCATTTCTCGAAAATTGCACGACCATTACATGAACTATCTCAAGACAATGTCAAATTTGAATGGACTCATGAAAGGAATGAAGCTTTCAAAAACCTCAAAAAAGCATTTACCTCTGCGCCTGTTCTGACGATAGCAAACCCTTACAAGCCCTTCATACTCGAGTGTGATTGCTCGGACTTTGCCCTTGGAGCTGTCCTATCACAAGTCTCCGACATTGACAATGAACTCCATCCGGTTGCGTTTTTGTCCAGATCCTTAATCAAAGCAGAACGCAATTACGAGATATTCGATAAAGAATTATTGGCAGTTGTCAGTGCATTCAAGGAGTGGCGCCAATACCTGGAAGGCAACCCCCACAGGTTAAATGTGATAGTATACACGGACCACAAAAACTTACAATCACTGATGACGACTAAAGAACTTACGAGGAGGCAGGCTCGATGGGCGGAGGTATTAGGAAGCTTTGACTTTGAGATAAGATTTCGTCCAGGAAAACAGTCGACGAAGCCGGACGCGCTATCCAGACGCCCAGACCTGAAGCCTACTGACTCAGAAAAACTAACCTTTGGCCGATTGCTAAAGCCTGAAAATCTCCCGAGTGATGCGTTTGTGGACTCTCTAGAAGTGATTGAATCTTGGTTCTTTGATCCTCAGATAGAAGAAATTGAATTAGACATGATAGAACCTCAAGTTGAAATATGGAATGATGAAAAAATTATAGAAGAGATCAGAAAGAAGACAAGTGAAGACCTCAAGATCATGGAAATCTTTAGAATCTGTCAAGACATGCCAACATCAAAACTTATCAGTGGATACTCAATTGAAAACCAAGTACTATATTTCCGTGGGAAAATAGTAGTACCTGACAATAACGATATCAAGCTGGAAATCCTTAAGTCCCGACACGACAGCTTAATAGCTGGTCACCCAGGCCGCATGAGGACGTTAATGCTGGTAAAGAGATCATTCCATTGGCCTTCAATGAAAGCGTACATTAACCGCTACGTTGATGGCTGCGAGCCGTGCCAAAGAGTCAAAGCTCGAACTTCAAAGCCTTTTGGAAGTCTCCAACCACTTCCAGTCCCGGAAGGCCCTTGGGTAGATATATGCTACGACATGATCACAGACCTACCGCCCTCTCAAGGCTTTGATAGCATCCTAACAGTAGTTGACCGATTCACTAAAATGGCTCACTTTGTTCCTTGTAGAAAAACGATGAACTCAGAAGAACTTTCAAGCCTAATGCTAAATTTTGTTTGGAAACACCACGGAACCCCTAGGACCATCACGTCGGATCGGGGTAACATATTTATTTCAAAATTCACAAAAGAATTGAACAAGATGTTGGGCATTAAGACACAATCCTCGACGGCATACCACCCCCAGACGGACAGGCAATCTGAGATCACAAACAAAGCTGTGGAACAATACTTACGTCATTTTGCTTCGTACAAACAGGACAATTGGTGTGAATTGCTCCCTATGGCGGAATTCTCTTATAACAACAACCTGCACGTTTCGATAGGCATGTCACCCTTCAAGGCGAACTATGGTTACGATGCCAGCTTCACAGGAACACCAAGTGAAGAACAGTGTCTACCGTCAGTTGAGGAACGACTCGAGCAGATAAGTGAGGTACAGAAAGAGCTGAAAGAAGCAATGCTAGAGGCCCAAGAAGATATGCAAGAACAATACAATAAGAAGGTCACTCACACTCCGTCGTGGAACGCTGGTGAACAAGTGTGGCTAAACAGTAAACATGTCGCAACCACCAGACCAACCGCTAAGTTTTCACATCGATGGTTGGGACCGTATGAAATAATTGAAAGAATATCAACTAATGCATATAAATTATCTCTACCAAAGGAGATGGCAGAAATGCATCCTGTCTTTCATGTGAATGTACTACGGAAGTATGTCAAGAGCGATGTAGAAGGCCAGGAAAATTCACCACCACCGCCAGTAATAATTGAAGGAGAGGAAGAGTTTGAAGTCAGTGAAGTATTAAACAAGAGGAAACGTAGGGGTAAAGTGGAGTATTTAATCAGTTGGAAGGGGTATGGACCTAATCACGATTCATGGGAGCCTGAAAAAGAGTTAGGTAATGCACGAGAATTGGTAAATGATTTTAATTCAAGATATCCGGAGGCGCTCAAGAACTACAGAAGGACAAGGAGAAGAGGTTAGAGCCTGAGGGTGAAGCTTTTTCCCTAAGGGGTTTTTTAATGCCAACCCGTGGAAAGATATCTAATCTGTCAAGAGGGGATTGAGATATAAAAGGGGGAATGGTGTAATGAGCCCTATATTGAGTTATGCTTGTACTGTGTCATCTGGGTTTCTATACTAGCTCTGCGGAAGGAGGACAGACTCTTCTTTCCTCACATTGCAATATCATCATACCAGCATCACTATCCTTGCTCTATCTCTCTAAGCCATTCCTAACACTTGTGCCCCCAGGTTTCCAACTGTCCACTTATAAGCAGTCTTTCCTACGCAATTTGGTCAAAATCTTGATTAGTCAGGATACGAGTATCATAAAGAATTTATCTTTGAATCTTTACATGGTAGCAAGAGTGCAAGATCTTTTCGAACCACTACTTGTATGAGTTCTAATCCCGTCGATTCACCTTTTGATGACGAGACTACTGATAACTCTACAGTCACTGAAGGCTCAAGCTCTTCAACAAGTACAGTCCGATTCTTAGGAACAGCAAAGTCTTCTCCAAGCAATTCAAAAATTACTGGCGCTTTACACAATCCCACTTCATCTGATCTAAGTTCTGCCGTCATGTCTGAATCCACTGATTCCAGAGTGTTCGGTGATGCTATTCAAAAAATCTCTCAAATAATGACAAATGCGCTCAGCAAGTACAAAGTTTCTGAAGATTTGTCTGACAATAATCATATTGAATGGAGTCAGTTCCTAATGGAGGTATTTCAATCTCTTGAACTTCATCATTACGTCAAGGTCAAGGACTACCGGCGCAAGAACTTGTCTGATGAGGAACATGAGAAGACATGTTTTAACATCACTACGTACATTCTCAATCGTCTGGATTTGGTGAACAAAGTCAGAACCCAAAACCGACTCACCAATCCCACTGATCCCCTCGAGATAATCTACAATCCATATGAATGTTGGACTTTTCTGAAGAATTACCATAATCAAATCTCAGAAGACATCTCAAGGGACGTGTCAATGATACGATTGCTAGCAGTTGATGGAAGTAGTTTCTTCCCAGTGATTGGTCGTGGGTCTTGTTGGGGTACAGTGCCACCAAAGGCAACGACAGGTGCTGTTTTGTTGGAAGTCATTGAGTGTGTCTTGATCTGCCGTGTAAAGTATCTAGATGGTAGGACATGGTTAGATAATAGATCGGTTTGATCGGGTTGATGAGTTGAATAGATGAAGCAGTTGATTGTTGTTCATAATGAGCGTGAGACATGAGAGGGTCATTAGATTCCTGATTGGTACGGTTTTCTGGTATACGTCTAGGAGGCATGTTATGAATGTCACTAATGTGTTATTGTGTATGAAATCATAGTTGTATGCTAATACTATTTCTCTCATTCAATATCCTTATAATCTATTAGCATAGTTATAGTATATATTGTATTTTGTTTTGTTAGATAGGATTGGTTCTTTCTTCACCTTTCCTAATTGTTCTAACATTTCTCTCAAGGTATGTTCTATTACTTTATGCAATAATACCTTTCCTAATTGTTCTAACATTTCTCTCAAGCTGTGAGAATCAATCTTATCAGGTTATGAGCCCATCTCACATTTCCATATAAGAAAATCATAGCTCGAAGAACGGTTTTGAAAACAATCGATTTTCAAAAACCATCTAGAAAAACCTCAGGAAAGGTCCGTCTGTACTGTCAGACGATAAACTCAGTTCAAATCAACAAGATTCTCCGAAAACTCAAACGATACTCTTCAAATAAGTATATTTGGAGATCTAGTTTACCACTTCAATTTTTTTTTTTTTTTTTGTTATTAAACTTCCAATTGACAAACAATCAATATGTCTGTACCTTCGGCCACTGCTGGAGATAGTCATAGAACTAGTCTACCATCATCGTCATCTATTTCGCCAAACATAACTCGTTCAAAAATGCCACGAACTGATTCATCTCGAACTGAAATTAAACCATCAACTGGTCTCACTTACAATCACGAACGATTGGAGGCAACTGGTGTTAAACCACTCGAAGCGCCTGGTGAGAATTCAAACTATCATCATTGGCAATTCGTGATGGGTACCATCATTCGAGGATCCGCATATGGATACGTTTTACGAGATGTTCAGCCAGATCCTCTTCCGTCTACTGAAGAACACGATAGATGCAAAGTATCTGCTCTA